CCCCAAAACCCCAAAACCCCAAAACCCCATAGTTCTTGTTTAATCAGAAATCAAATAAAAGGAAATAATAGAATTATAAATAACAATATTTCCGAATATAATGAAAACGTGCGAGCACTATAAAAATATAAATCTCGCGAAGATTGAGCAAGCTCTGCAGCCCTAAATCGACGTTTAGCTTCAGATCTGCAATACTTGTGACATTCAACTTTCAGATGACCTTAAAAAAATGTCTCCTAAAGAACTTGAATCTCTCGTATATGAACATAAGATTTATTTAGATTCTTTAGCAGGTTATAATCAAACAGCCAATGATAATCAAGGTGCAAGTACAGGACGAGTAAGCCATATTTAAAGACCCGTTAGAATCTCAAGATTAGGGGAACTATTAGAAAAAATAGAAATTAAATATCAAAATGGAGTTCTCATCTGCCTTATGTGTCTTAATGTTGCTTGCGGGAGATATGAAAAAAAGCATGCACTAAAACATGTTGAGTAAGAGAAATCTCATACGTTAGTATTAAGCTCAAAAGCAATGACTGTTTGGTGCTATACATGTGATGATGACTTATAAACTATTCTGAATAGTATGCAGAATGAAGATACAGAAAAGGAGGAATTACATAATTTCCTTGAAAAATTGCATCAAATATTTGGAAGACTATTAATAAAACCAAGGAGAGGTTAAAGATTGAACTCGGGACGCCAAATTGACATTAAGGATGGATAAAATGAAGAGGATAAGAAGGAAGATGTTTAGGAATATACTGAAAAAGACTTGGAAGATTTTCATATTTGCTATAGGGGATTTAAAAATCTAGGTAATACATGTTTCTTCAATTCAACAATGCAATGTCTTAACGCATCAAGAGATTTTGTATTCAAATATGTTTTACCTAAAACTCAATAATTTCCATTTAAGAATAATTCTAGCATGAATGTCTTGCTCAGAAGTTTGTTCTTTGATGTTAGAAATGGAAAAGGATCATACAATCCATCACTTATTTTTAGTGGGGTTTGTAAAAGAAATTCATCTTTTAGGGGATTTTAGTAACAAGATGCACATGATTTACTAGTAAATTTTCTTGATATGCTTGTTCAAGAGCACGATTAGCATATGAAAAGAAGTAAGCAGGAAAAGATGAAGGGACAGAAAAAGAGTTATGTTGAGGAGGTGTTTGGTACTTTTTACCTTAATTCAGGTATTTTATAATGAAATCTTAATAATTTACAGTTTTATGTTTGGATTGTCGAAGGGTATCAAGGATACGAGATCCAACTTTTGATATGAGCGTAACAATCTCGTTTAAATAAAATACTCCACAATCTAATAGTAAACTGAAGAAAATCTTATCAAATAATAGCATAACTTCACAACAAGTCAGTATTAAAGCTACAAGTAGTAAGGTTGGAGATGAAATGAAGTAGACAACTAAGATGAACATGGTGTCAATGAATTAGATAAAATCGCTTTGTAACTGCCTGGTGAGAGTTAACTCAACTCGTAGCTAAAATAAGACAGAATATTAATAGCCAAATGTCTTTTATTCCAATAATTAAACTGTGTAATAGCAAGAAATACCAGATAAAGTAGAGGAGCCGATTCCATAGATAGAAGAGAAGTTAGATAAATAAATTGAAGCTACAATTGAAAAGAAAGATGAAAAAGCAGTTGAAGATTAATATTAAGAGGCAAAAACATCAGATACTCCTTATAAAGGTAAATTATCAGAATTAATAGCTTTATATAGGATAACCAGATAGCAGTATAGGTGCTAGCACCAATGCTAGTAGCAATAATACTGAGAAGTAAAGTGATTAAACTACTATTTCGAAGGAGCCCTAAACAATTGATAATCTCAGAAGCATTCATAGTGAAAGCACAAATAAAGATAGTAGCACTCCAACTCCCTAAGATCCTTAAGCTGTTTTATTGAACAAAGGTATTACATCAGGGCATATGATGTTCGAAGAAGGTAAAAGATTTGGTAAAATGTTTGATATGGAGAAGACGCCTTTTCTTGAAGATGGAGATAAGTTTGAATATTTTGAGCCAGCTCCAAAAGCTAAATTCGATGATGGTACATTAGAAGGATGTCTCTACAATTCAGTAAAGATAGAATCTTTGGTAGATAAACAAAACTTGTATTTATGTGAGCATTGCACAGAAGAAAAATACGGGAAAAGTAAGTTTACATTCTTATTAAGTAATTTATGTAGAATCTAAGAAATAGCATAGAACATAAGCTCTTAAGAAGTTGATGCTTATAGAACCACCAAACAACCTTATAATAAATCTTAAAAGATTTACCTAGTAGGCATTTTCTTTCAGTAAAAACTCAAAGAGAATCGCATTTCCTCTAATTTTAGAACTAGATGATTTTATGATACACACAGTAAATAAAGAAGATAATGATTTGATCAAACAATACGAGTAAGCTAAAACAGACGCAGATTGGTAACCTAAATACTAATACAGACTTTTTGGAGTAGTATCACATTCTGGCAGCATGAGTGGAGGTCATTACATCGCCTATACAAGCTATCATTACAAAGGAAAAAGATACTGGTTCTACATGAGCGATTCATAAGTTGATTAGGTAGATGAGAAAAATGTTTTATCATGTGAAGCTTATATTCTCTTTTACCAAAGAATGTGGTGAAAATTTTCAGTGAAAATATATAATGGTTCTATTCCTAAAATGATAGGTGGAAGAATTTATATGATGTAAAAAATTCAGATTAACTGAAGTATTTATTATATTAATAATTTTCATAACGTCATTAGATTTAATTAATTTTACTGCTTGGGGTTTTGGGGTTTTGGGGTTTTGGGG